TGTGTGTGTGTGTATGTGTGTGTGTGTGTATGTGTGCGTTCATCTCTCTCCGGGTCATGTTTTTCTCTCCTCTACATAATACAACAATTATTGGTTCAAGTGCTACGGCATAGATTTTAAAGCAAATCACTGTTCCCCCCACAGTTCCGGAGACCTCCTCTTTTAACCGTGTCCAGTTTCATAGCATTGAATTTCAACGAAATCCTAGTTCCGGAGACCCCTATTTTCAAACATAGCCTGTTCCAGAGCATACCACATTTAACAAACATTATTTCCAGAGACCCCCATTTTCAGGTCTGAGTTAGTTTTAGAGCCCCCCCCCCCCATTTTTGACTTCGCAGTGGCACATACCTACCATAATGTGGGGTGAGTCCCCCCCCCCCCCGGGTTTCATCTCCTTGGTATATGTTGCTCCTTGGTTCCCTGCACAATTTTTTTTTGTCAAAATGGTGCAACGGCAGTGCCGTGCTGCCGTGGCGGCCACTACGGCCCTGTGCTGTGATTTGAAAGCAATGTATGTGATGTGAATGCACGGTTAAATCCAATGTAAAGAAAGACTTGTACCTAATTTTGTGTATAATTAATATTTTGGTCATGAATGAGCTCAAAATGAGTTCATTACATACAGAATGAAGACAGCATCGGAATCGATAATGCAGCAGCTTCATCTTACTGTTTCATTGGAGGTCACTCCCAATTATCATCATTATGACGACACAAGTATTCAAATCCTACAATGGGGATGCAGTCAGCTGCGCTCATAGGGTCTATGACCCCCAGGGTACTGCCGGAACGTACCCTGGTCACTATTTGATATGGTTAGGGTTAGGATTAGGGTTAGGGTTAGGATTAGGGTTAGGGTTCGGGTTAGGGAGTAGGCGTAGGCGACTCCCTAGACTCGTTAGTGGAGTAGGCGAGGTACGGTCCGGCATATTAGATAGTACCACTACCAGGGTACGTTCCGGTATACCGGACCGTACCAAGGGTACGCTCCGGCAGTACCCCGGGGGACATAGACCCTCTCAGCCGTACTAGTACTAGGTACTAGTAGTAGTAGTAGTAGTAGTAGTAGTACGTAAGTACAATATGATATTGCTATGAACTTATTTAATGAGAATTTTGATAACTGCTAGTGCTAACATACATGCAGTAATACTAATAGCTAATATCTAGGCTATAATAAGTATGGGGGCCAACCTAGAGTAGATACAATTTCTACTATCACTATGATTATCAGACTTCTTATCGTGTGCCGCCCGATCCAGTGGCCTCGATAGATCGCAGATTAGTTTAGCTGGAAGTTGTAAAATCATCACACCTATCAAACTTCCATGCACACGGATCCGATCAGGTAAGTTGAAGTAGGCGATCCTCGACGAGTTAGCTGACGTTTTCGATACAACGAACGAACGTACTTCCACTACACGACGATCCTGACCAGGGAAGAAGTAACTTAGCTGACGTGGCACTTTGCTGATCAGTCGTGGTGCCCACTGAGCTGTATCGCCATAAACACATGCGCTGATTTGCACGTGTTGACGATCCGATAGGGGGCAGCACTTTGTTGAACAGCCTCCCAACCACACACGCAATTGAGCGGCTGTGAATTTGTATATAATTGTTATAATAATATATAATTTGTATATAATCAGGCGCGGATTTAAGGCCGCCGCACACCAGCCGATTTTACAAACGATGAAGCGATGAAGCGATGAAGCGATGTAGGTGCAGGGGCGGCGCGTACGGGGGGCCGGGGGGGCCCGGGCCCCCCCCACTTTTTTGGCAGAAAAAATATGTCTATATGTATTTTGTATGATCGGAAAGAAATGCAAGAAAAGAAAGAGGGAATAAGGAGGAGAGGAAGGGGGAAAGAACGAAAGAGATTGTTTATCCACATTTTCATCTGCCTACTGGAAAATTACAAAGTTTGACGAAGTCCCTCTAGCCTTACTCTATAGCAAACAGACATGCACAGCGCCGTATTTACCCCAATACCGTGCGGACTTCGGGGCTTGATCCTGTGCTTCGGAGGCTCGATCGAGGGTCGAATATCTCCTACTGCCAGACTAATCTCAGACTGTGGCCGCGGCCGTCTCATTATCCAGCGCTACTGCGCATGCGTCACGCATGCGCACGAGGTGCTGGGGGTAATTTTGGACTGGGGTAATTTCAGACCGTGACACCAGCACACACCATATTACCGCCACTTATGCTATTATTACTGGGTGATCCTACATTTTTCTGCAGTAGCACATTTTGGGAGGCCACTACAGCCCTGCCAAAGTGCATGCAGGCCCCCCTCACATCTGAAGCAAGAAATTGTGTTTGTGATAGGTGGCAGCACCTCTTATCAGGCAACATTGATTTATGTTTCAAGGCACATGACATGCTCTGTACCAAATACAACACAATATACACGGCACGAATGCACGCGCACACACGCAATTTATACTATAGTAAGTTCTCTCTGGAAAATTCATAAAGCATGCTGTTTATGGATGGATGATCATGAGGTAGGGCCAAGGAGGTAGGGGGGGGGGGTGTAATTCAAATAGACCTAAGTACGCATGTCATAAGCGATCATACGCAGCTGAACTCCATCAGTTTTGAGATATACACATCAAGCTGTAAATATACAGCATGACGGTGTTGGAATTGTCGCAAGCAAAATTCACATATTTCACAGAAGTATTTACTTTGTCCTTCACATGTGCAGAATTTTGGATCTCACAACTTGCACACGTCACTGCCACCAACAGGAGCACTCCACTGGTTATCTTCATTTTCACACTGGTAAAAATAAAGTATATAAACAAACCATTACAGCGTGAGAAACTAGCGGTCGCCCAGTCGCCAGTGGCGATTAGAAAATCGACCGGGCGACTGCTTGCTCGTGTCAGCTGGTCCGGCGGGGCGACTAGATAATCGCCGCACAGGAAATAAAAAACTTACCAAACTGATTATTTTGTTATTCTCTACTAACCTTCTACATTATTCTAATGAAATGAATGGTAAATTTAATCAAATATAGACTAAAAATAATCAAATTCCGAAGCCTAAAGTCCATGCGAAGTGCACGAACCCGCCATGTTTGTTGTGTTCGATTTTCTAGGTCATGCTGTTAAACCTCTGCTAATTCGACAATACTGGGCATCCCCGACCAATCAGCGATCGCGTAATAAAATATGATAATTTATAGGAATAATGGCCGGTCTTCAGAGACCGCTGATCTTTGAAATCGACTTGCGGACTTGTTCCGATTTACTACGCATCAGTGTATCGAAACGACGGTAAGAAAACATAATATTGCGTGATGAAAAGAAACTGGCTGATCCGAATCACAATCAGGCTATTATTATTCATATTATAATATTTTGTTGCTTAAGACTGCAGCTATTAGTAATTATAGTATCCGTATTCCATTGTATTATTAAGAATAATCGCTTAGAATGCACATGCACGCGAACCAATTGCAGACCATCCCCCCCTTATGAAAAAAACGTCCCCACATCCGAAGTCAGTCACTTTGCTACGAGCAGAAATCCTGGACCAATGGCCTACTGACGCTTATGACCGAAGAACATAGCGAAGAAGGGCTCTGGAGTGGAAGGGCCCCGGGAGGAGGCGGGGGGGACAAGAGGCCTCCCATTATCAGTTTTTCACGGCGCTGCACATTACGTGCTACGGTAGTACTGGCTTGCATAGGGTCTATGTCCCGCCGCAGGGTAACTGCCGGAAACGTACCGCTGGGTAGCGGATCCGGTATACCGGAATCGTACCCTGGTCCACTATTTGATATCGGTCTAGGAGTTAGATTAGGGTAGGTTATGAGAGTAGGCGTAGCGACTCCCTACAGACACTCGTTATCGGAGTAGGCGAGGGTACGATATCGGCGGGCATAATTAGAGTAGGTACACTACCAGGGTAACGTCGCGGTATACCGGAGCCGTAGCCAAGGGTACGCTCGGCAGTACCCCCGGGGGACCATAAGACGCTCTCGCCCGTACTAGGTAACTCGGTACTAGTAGTGAGTAGGGTAGGTAGTAGTCAGGTAGTACGTAAGTAGCAATTCAATGATATTGCTGATGCAACTTATTTAAATGAGAAATTTGACCTGAACTGCTAGTGGGCTAGACTATACAGTGCGTAAATAGCTAATAGCGTAATATCTAAGGCTAATAATAAGTATGGGGGCGCAACATAGAGTGAAAGAGATACAAGTTGGGTGCTGACTAACATCACTAAATGAATGTATGCAACTTTTATCGTGTGCCGGCCCGATCGCTGCTGGGGGGGAGGTGGGCACTCGGAAGATTCCGGCAGATTAGTTTATAGCGGTGGATAGGTTGTACCAAAGAATCATCACTACCTATCAAACTTCCAATGCACGTACGGATCACGATCAAGGTATAGTTTGAAGTAGGCTGATCCCCTCGACGGAGGTTAGGCTGAGCGTTTTCGATACACGACAAACGGAACGTAACTTCCCACTACACGACGGAGGGTCCTGACCAGGGAAGAAGTATACTTAAGGGACTGACGTGGCACTATTGCTGATCAGAGTCTGCGGGTGCCTCCACGAGCGTATCGCCAGTATAACAAGCTGCGCAGTGAATCTTTGCGACGGTGGTTGACGATGCCGGATAAGGGGGGCAAGCACTTAGTTGAACGAGCCTCGCGCGAACTCACCACACGCAAAGCTATGATGAGCGGGACTGTGAAGTTTTGGATATAATTGGTTAATAAAAATAATATAATTTGTGAATTATAATCAGGCGCGATTTAAGGCGCGGGCCGGCACCACCAGCCGATTCTTGTGACGAAACGCGAAAAGAATTTGAAGCGATGAAGGCGGATGAAGCGGAATGTAGGTGCAGGGGCGGCGCGTGAGCGGGGGCCAAGGGGGGCGCCCGGGCGCCCCCCGCACTTATACTTTGGGCAGAAAAAATATGTCTACTATGTATTGTTGTATGCATCACGAAAAGAAATCGCAAGAAAAGAAAGGAGGGAATAAGAGGGAGGAGGAAGGGGGAAGAGAACGAAAGAGGATTGTTTATCCACCTTTCATGCTGGCCTATTCTGCAAAGTTACAAAGTTTTGACGGAAGTCTCCTGCTAGCCTTGGACTGGGAGCTAAATAGGTCAGAACACGACAGTGCGAGCGACGAGGCCGACCGTATTTGGACTGCCAGGAGATGACGCGTGCGAGCTTCGGCTTGATCCTCGTGCTTCGGAAGCGCTCGATCGAGGGTCGAATATCAGTATCCGTACCTTGCATATGTAAAGAGTGCAGGCCCGTGAGCCAGGGCGGGTTCGGGGGATTCCGAACGAACCGCGACGCCAGAAGTTTTGTTGAAAATTTGCAAGAATTTCGACTTCAAGGTCGCTTCGCGGGAGTGGGTTTAGTGAATAATAATGTGGCAAAATCTCCGATCGTGCGGGAGGGCTGAACAGTGAACACCGGCCGCTCCCACAGTCCCTCCCCCGCTAGCGTCGCGCTGGCTCCGCGAACAAGAGATAGATCTGCGGAAGACACCATGTCGCTTCGCGCACCGAGCAGGGGCGTGGTAGCAGGGGGGTTCAGCGAGTGCGGGAAACCGCCCCCTATATGCTCGAGAGGCGGGCAAAAACGCATCTGAGGGGGTTACTAGAAGGATTTCGAACGAAAAAAAGTACCGCCCCCTTCGCGGGTGCGGTCGGCCAACTTTGGCTTAGCGGTTAGACGACGCAGCCCGCCTCGTCACAAATCCCTGTACACGGCCCCTGCGCAGGCAATTGCCCGTCAACACTAATGGAAAAAACCGAACGGAGGGCCCCGCCGGCCCGCAATATAAAAGCTAGCTAGCGGCCTGCATATGCACACATTGTAGCTGAATATAGGCTAGGCAACTACGCCGCGCTGTAACGCATGAGCAAGCTTAAGTACGCGCAAGCGACGGCGAACGAGGCCTGAACGCCGCAACGCAGAGTAACGCAATGTCCCAGCGAGCGGTATACACCGGACCGTACCCGAGGGGTAGCTTCCGAGGCAGTAACGACTGGGGTACAGAAACGCCTAATGCGTGATAGTTTTTATGTATAATATTTTCATATAGTTCGCCTTTTATTCTTTTGTATAAAGGGTCTTGCACTTTAGTCTCTAAATACTTTTTTAATTAATAAATAGGTTGATGAGTATTCTTTATGTACATATCCTAGGCAGGCTTGGTTTTAAAGGGCAAAACGTGTGATCAGCAACACATGAAGATAAAAAAGCTCACCACACACCAAGCCTAGTCGAGCTGATGTTATAAAAGATGTTAACTAATCATGTGCAGCAATGTTATTTTGACTCATTACGCATAGGTGAAAGAAAAAAATGGAAAATATTCTGTACCACCCTGAAAAAGATTTCACGTATATGATATATCTTTAATTCGCTATACATGTATTCATATTGATCCCACATGATTATAATAGATACTGTCACTATAGTTGACATGTACATGTAGACATAGTCTGAGAAAAAGGCGTGTTAATTTCCGGTTGGGTGTTTTTTATTTGATTTTTTTATAATATTTCCCCTCGGGTTTTCTCCTATGCATTTAAAAAATTTAAATTTTCACAGCGCTTTGATGTGCACCCGATCGCTCCAATTTCAGTGGGGGGCAAAATTGAAAAAGGTCCGCTGCCGGATGCCCTCTCCCACCCGACCGAGCCAGCGCCCCACCGCGCCGCTTCGGTCGCCTCGGCTCCCATCGCTCGGGGCGCTTTAGCGCCCGAGTAAGCCAGCCCGGGCCCGCATTGCGTGCGCTTCATTCTCTCAATTGGCCCCCCCAACTTTGAACACCGTGGCAGGCCCGCGCGCCCCTGAGCTGGTAGTGCGCGCCCTTAAATACGGCTCATGCGCGCGAGTCGGCTCAATCGGGTTCAAAATCAAAGAACGAATGTTGATTTGGAAGCGATCACCCAGATAAAAATAAATAAATCGTCTATCAAATGAACGCCGCAGCACCTAGCATCACCTTTTCATCGGCTTTCATCGCTTGCATCGTTTGTAAAAATGGGCTGGTGTGGCCGGCGGCCTTTGAGGATGGGGCACCATCGCGGCCCGTGCCCCCCCCCCCCTTTTGAAACAATACGAACAACAAAAAGATTAATTAAAATTATTAAACGAAAATTAAAAGAATTACAAGAAAATTACTAAATTAAGAATTTTCCTCCGAATTTCAATGTTGTAAATCACAGGTTACAAGATGAGGTTTCGGCAGGGGTCAGAAAAATTGATGACATCATGTGACGCCAGTTTTCAGTTTAACATAAACTACTACAACATTTGTCAGTCCATTCTTTGCTAATTCCCTGGCAAAGGAGAAACATTCGTCAGAATCATTACAGAATTGTGATATTTTACATTGAGTGTGTAGAGGATATATTTCTGGCCTGCAACTGTTATATGTCAATCACATAATGTATGTATGTATGTAAGGCCGGATGTTTCATTAAGGGCAAGAAAGTAGCTAATTGTTATTTGCTGTCTGTAATGACATACTCATACTAATACAAACAGTTCATTCAAGTTTGAAATCATATTCGAGATCATCCAACAAGATTTGTATTTTGAATTGGCCATATTTCATTTGCTCTAGCTTCAAAATAGTTATTTATATGTGAATGTGCTTCTGTAAATAAGACCACATGATCATGGTCAGAAATATAGTAGAAGGTTTACAAACATTCAGTGTAAATGTAAATTTCTCGGTACATTTGACGGTCTATGCCTCCCCCCCCCCACCCGTCCGTCCATACGAAGGCTGTCGACGCCCACTGATCAAAAATTTAAACACATAAAGTGCTTGCTGCCAATATGAGTTAAAATACCTTCTATAGAACAGAGGGCACCAGATCCTGCACGCATTTTAAGCTAAAAAATGCAAAAAGCCTAACCCTAACTGGAGTAACCGCCCCTGTAGCACGCGCCCCTGGGGGAGGGTACAGTGGGGGGGGGTCCAGGGGGTCCAGGGGGTCCCAGGACGCCCACCCCCCCACTGCTCAGCGCAAAAAAACGGCATCTGAGGGGAGTCCTCAATTTTCAGAAATAAGATTTCGTGGGCCGGCTAGATCCCGCGCGCGGCGCGTGCTCGCAGTAGGGGTTGAAACGTTAGACCCCCCCCTCCCTGGTCCAAATCCCTGTGACACGCCCGTGGAGATGCTTTACCCCGCCCCCCTCACTCGCTTCGCTCAGCGCGTCGGCTCCGCGCTCTCTCGGCCGTATCATCCCCACATTTTCAGGCGTATCATATTGCTCATATTGTGCCCGTCCTCTTTTTGAAATTCTTGGATCCGCCCCTGTATCGTAATTGTTATAGGTAAGTTGGTAAATTCTGTGTTGTATAATATGTACTTACATACATACGCAAAGCACGCAACAGCGCGAAGTACAGCACGCAAGCACACCCAGGCAGGGTTGTCTATATTCAGCCGGCCGCGTGACAGGAGAGCGTAAAAGTTGCATCTATTTTATCACAGTGGTTTGCCTGTTATAAGACGCAATGCAGTTGACGCGGCTCGTTCGTGACGTGCTCACGCGGGGTCGGTTGCGCTCCGTGTGAGAAGGTGTGGAGGAGGGGAGAAGCTAGGCAAGAGAAGGCTAGCGAAGCAGGGAGAAGTCGTGGTGGAGAAGGAGAAGGGGGAGAAGCGGAAAGGTGTGGAGAAGTGAGGAGGGGAGGAAGCTGGTGGAGAAGGAGGAGGGGAGAGCTGGTGCGAGAATGAAGAAGGAGAAGAAGAGACTGGCTGTGAGAAGGAGGAGTGGTGGAGAACGGTGTGGTGAAGGTGTGGAGAAGTGAGAAGGTCGGTGGCCAGGGAGAAGGTACCTCCTGCACCTTCGTGCCACCACCTGATCCTCCTTCTCCACGCACCTGCCTCCACCAGCGTCGCCCCCGCTCCTCTCACGCCTTCGTCGACACCAGCTTCATGCCCCCTGGCGCTCCACAGCCACCTTGCTCCGCCTTCTACCCCCTCCTCCTTCTCCACCAGCTTCTCCCCTCCTTCTCCACCGCGATTACATCTGCGATTACCGCGATTACCGCGAACACAAACCACGTGACAAAATATGCAAATTATCTCCTGTACCGGCCTGAATATAGACAAACCCACACAGGCACTGCGCACATGCGCGCGCACACACCCGCACACACACACACACATACACGCGCGCGCGCACACGCACACACACGCACACACATACACGCGCGCGCGCACACGCACGCACGCACACGCACACGCACACAATACTCAATACTCTGCCATCAAGCTATCATCCATCGCATTGAAATGTTAGGGTTCGGTTGCTAGCGTTTAGGTGTTGTAATTTTATATAAATTATAATAGCATTATATTCAGTTTTCGCAGGTCCAGGAGTGTCGTTATATATTATACTAGCAAAGTGTCC